AGTGACTTATTAATCTTATAGTTCTACAGTAAGTTCAGAAGTAATGGCTGGACGGTGACTAAGGCTGAAAGCCTGTCTTACCAGACTGGATCTCATCTAGACCCTCTCTGTCCGAGTCCCCGTTTTCCCAGAGCTCAGGGCCTTGCGTTTGTAGTGCCCCATCTGTTTTCTTGCAGCTCTTTCCCAGGTTGTCCTAACTGCTAGAGGCTGATCTCAGACCCTTCCCTTTGCCTACAGCAGCTGCAGCAGCATGTCACATCCTTCTTACAAACCTCTGACCTCCGAAGCCAGCAGGGAACACTTGAGACTTTTAAAATGCCTGTGTGAGTAGGTTAGATATACCCACGTAAACTCTGCATCTTGAACCTGTTTGATATGGAACTTTAATTGAGTTTATAAGCTCTGTTTACACCAGTAACTGGTGTTTGAGAATAGCCAGGCTCTAGGAATCACGGGACGCATCTTCCAGCCCTGCCTGCCGCGCTAACTTTTAACTGCACTTCATCTTATACATCGGCCTTATTTTTAGCCATCTGCTGTTTGTAAAGTGTTCTTAGCGTGCCTTCTTATAATTGGTTTTTTAAATGTCTTGATAAGTTTGAGAACTTCTACACATATATCTTAGCCATTTAACCATGTTTTTCTGTAATCTACTTGTTTATTTAGGGAGCAGATTATTTTCTTTCTTGTTTTCTTTGCAGGAGGTATACTATGTATTCTGCCCACTAATCACTTAACAATCTAAAAGATTTGTTTTTTTTTATTAATGTGCATGTGTGTAGATCTGTGTGAATATATGCTATGTGTGTGCTTGGTGCCCTCAGGCCAGAACAGGTCATCAGATACCCTGGAAGCTGAAGTTACAGATGGTTTTAAGCTCCCTGATACTAGTTCTGGAAACCAAACACAGGTCCTTTGGAAGAGCAATAATCTATCTAACCAGTAAGCTATCTTTCCATGGCTAGCTCGAACTGATTTTATATGCTACAAATATTTTTTCTTAATACATCATTCTTCTGTTAGCCTTGTCTGTCTTTGCTTTATTGAACACAATTTCTTACCTTTAATGTTCTCCAATTCATCTATTAATATTTCAGTTACTAGTAACAGAGGTGTTTAGAATTACAAATTTAAGATGGCAGCCTTAACCCTAACTGTAACCCCCCCAAACCCCAGGGTGATAGTTTTTTAAATCAAGAGATGCAGACTTACCTTGTTTTTACTCTCGAGGTAATGCCTTGCTTTATTTCCCAGGTCTCCTGAGCCCATGGGTGCAAGCCATCCTACAGCAGAACCACACAATAACCATTACTTTATTTTAAATGTATGTACTTAATATATCTGAGTATTCTGCTGCATGTATGTCTGTGCTTCACATGTGTGTTTGGTGCCCTTGGAGGCTAGAAGAAGGTACCAGATCCCCTTTTACTGGAGGTAGGCATGGTTGTGAGCCACTGTGTGGGTGTAGGGAACTGAACTCAGCTTCTGTAGAAAAGTAGCCAGTTTTTTTAACCACTAAGCCAATCTCTACAACTCCAATGTGTGTTAATTTATTATGTATCTTATTTTACTTTGCATAGTTTCCAAGGTTCATCTATATTTAAATATAAAAACATATACTTAAACATATGTAGGTATATGCTTTCTTATGCCAGATAAGACTATTTTGCACATACCACATTTGTTTATATATCTTTGCATTGATGAATATTAACATTGTTTTCACATACTGTTAAGAACATTTGTGCACAAATACATTTTTTACTTATTTAACTGCAAAGTTAATACTTTGAGGTATGCCCCCACATGAATAAAAGAAAATTGAAAGGATGAGTAACCCCTCACCCTCAGAAGTAGCCTGGAGGTGGAGGGTTCCCTGCATGGATGGATGCACAAGAAGGACCCCTGTAGACTCAGAGAGAAGGGATGCCACTGCTGTTTCCAGAGGAAGCCTGATGGGACAGGCTCCTTGCACACAGGTGAAAGGCAAGAGGGTTCGTCCTGAGCCTGCAAGGATACTTGGGTTCCTACTTCCTTCTCCTTTTCCTCTCTCTGCATTCACCTCATGTACTCAGATCCTCGGCTGTCTCATTTTCTTCTGGACAAAGTCACCTCAGAGCATGGCTGCTGCAGCTGCAGTCCCAACCCACCTCAATTGTGTCCTTTCATTCTGTCTCTAAGTATTTATTTTAAAGCCTCACTTTAATTCTTACTAATGCACACCTAGAAATACAATTGCTGGGTAATTATATTTTAAAATAAGAAATGACTAAACTCCTTTCCCTTGATAAATGTGTCATCTTTCATTTCTGTGTTTTTTGTTTGTTTGTTTTGTTGTTGTTACTTGTTTTGGTTTTGATACTGGTTCTTTTTTCCATTGTGATCAGTGAAAACTGCATTACTCCAGTCCTGCAAAGTTTTATCAGGCTTGTTTTTATAGCCTACTTCGGACTACCTTGGATATTGGTCCACTCATTCTTCTGCTAACTGAATCTTTCTTTCCATTTTTAAGTTGCCATTTTCTTGATTTAGCATCTAGTTGGTTATTGTAAACTTCTGACTGTTTTTGGAGTTCTCTAGTCTTTTCTCCTCTATGTTGAAGAGAATAGGCCTATGGAGTATTTCCCTTCTGCCTTAGTTAGAGTTACTATTCTTGTGATAAACACCATGACCAAGCAACTCGGGCCTCCTGGTGGGACTTGGGGATTTTCGCTTGATTTTAACAGTATCAAGTGAGACTATTGAGACCGAAAAGGTGATGAAGGAAAACACCCCTCTGGCTAAGCTCACATGATAGGTGTCCTCTGCTGTGGGAAGATTGCTCACAGGAGAGTCACCACTGTGACTGAGGGCAAGACAGGTGTCTCCGAACCCAGTCATCTCCTGTTTTCTTTTTGCTTCCCTTTCCTCATCCTTGGTATCTTTAACACAGCCATCAGACTCTCCAGCCCTCTGTGGTCTTGTTCTCTCTGGGTTCTGAGGGCTTCGACCCTTTTCTACACTGGATGGTAACTGCATCTTTAGCACCCTTGGGACTTTCCCGCAGACCCACATTTTGTAGACATCACTCTTAGGATATTTTCCTTCCTTCCTTCCTTCCTTCCTTCCTTCCTTCCTTCCTTCCCTGTTTGTTTTCTCAAGGCAGGGTTTCTGTATATATCCCTGGCTGTCCTGGAACTTGCTCTGTAGACCAGGCTGGCCTCGAACTCAGAAGTCTGTCTACCTCTGCCTCTCAAGTGCTAGAACTAAAGGCATGACCCACCACACCTGATGGAATTATTTCCTAATGCAAATAGTTAACAATGCTTTTTTAATACTATGAATTAAAAGTTTATAGACACTATAACTCAATAGACACAGACATATAAAAATCAGTGTAATAATTTAATTGTAAAATAAGGGAAAATAAGCTATCTTATAATGTATGCACTTCATCCTGTAAATGCTTATATATAACATTGGAAGACAAAGTGAAATAAGATTATGTTTGCAGCTACATAAGTAAATTGGATAGATGTAAGTCTAAAATTCTTTTTGCCCAACTGCTAATAAAATGAAACATTGAAATCTGCTCATAATTCCACCAGAAAACTCTTAAACCTGATAAGCACTTGTACCAAAGTTTTTATCAACATACAAAAACATAGGAACTTCTCTATGTCCCAGTAATGAGCATGCTAAGCAAGAAATCAAGAAAGCAATACCATTTACAGTAGCCTCAAAATAGATACTAAATGCCTAAGAATAAACCTAATGAAGGAGTTAGAAGACCTCTGCATTGAAAACTAAATACTGAAGAAAACACTAGAAGACTGACCGCTGCTCATGTTACGGATTGGGGAGAATTAATGTGACCAAAATCAGTATACAGATCAAATGCAGTTCCCCCATCAAAATTTCAATGACATTAGTCAAAGTACTAGAAAAAAATTCCTTAAAATTATATAGAAGTATAAAGTACTCCAGATAGTCTGGGTGGTAGTAGCACCTGCCTCCCAGCACTCAGGAGGCAGAGGCAGGCAGATCTCTGAGTGTGAGGCCAGCCAGGTCTACAGAGTGAGTTCCAAGTCAGCCAAGGCTGCACAGAGAAACCTTGTCTCTAAAAGTCAAACCAAAACAAACAAACAAACAAACAAACAACCCCTTCAGATAGTCCAAATACGACAATCCTGAGGAAAGAGAGATGCCACAGAAGCACGTGTGCATGGTGTTATGTTGTTTAGGAGATAATAGTGAGGTGGGGAGGATGCAGGCATTGAATTAAAGCACATGTGCAGTCTGAGTTAAATCTTAAGGAGGCTGTGGATACAGAGACTGGTAGTAATTTTGTCCATTAGTTTATAATGCTTTGATAAGAATCTAAACTCGGGGCTAGAGAGATGCTGAAGAGCACTGGTTGCTCTTCCAGAGGAAGTAGTTTGGCTCTCAGTATCACATGGCAACTCATGTAATTCCAGTTCCAGGGGACTCAGCACTCTCTTCTGGCTTCTATGGGCACCAGGCAAGCACTCACTACACTTACATAATTGCAGGCAAAATGGTCATAAGTAAAATAAAAATAAATGTTTTTTTAAAATTATAGTAAAAGTACAGTTAAAATTTTAATAATATGACATGTACTTGAAGCTACTCCCTGAGAAAAGTCTTAACTGTAGTTCAAAATTAAGAGGTCATGTGAGTTGTCATATTTAATGTTTTAATTCATAATCTGTTGCCTTGGTTTGCTCTTAATCAGAATTACATTTTAGGGAAAAATTCATGAAAATTTCTATGTCCTGTATTTACTGTGTTTTGAAATTTTGTTGTAAGCTCCTCAGCTGTTAGAACTGTCTACAAGGTGTGCTCTGTTTTAGGCATATGAACTCCTTTTATTTTACTGAGAAACAATAGTCCTTACATAGACTAACTGCAATACTGTTTTTAGCTATGGGTCATTTGTGGTTGTGAAAAGCAACATAAAATTCATAATAGCTTTTGTGGCTTGTGTTTTTTATTTACAGCCTTCAAGCAAAATAAAGGTACCCGAGGAGAATTTCTTTGATGTTCCTGCTTTCTTAACTGTCTCAGGACAACTTCACCTAGAAGTGATGTCAGGGTATAGAATTTTATTTTTCTTTTTATGCTGATTGTGATTTGGGGCAGAATGAAACAGTGTTCTCAAATGTAGAAGCTGAAAATATTCTATCATTAGTCTACCAAGTGGATTTAATGGAGAATTTGAAAATGTCCAAAGGAGGGGCAAGAATGACGGCTCAGTGGTTAGGAGCACTTGTTCTTAAAGGGGATCTGGGTTTGGTTCCCAGCACCCAGATGGTGGCTCACAACTGTCTGTAACTCTACTTCCAGGGGATCTGACATTCTCTTCTGACCTTTGAGGGCATCAGGCATGCACATACACACACATGCAGGCAAATACTCATACACATCAGAAGAAAAGGAAAAAGAAATAATGTCTAAATATTCTCCAAAAAAATCATACTAGTCTAGACGTCTGTTTTTAGTAAAAGGTGTAACAGCAAAGTGTGAAATTGTAAATTTTTTTATTCCTAATTATTCTTGCTTAAATCCTAACCATGTAATCAAAATTTCAATATAATTGACCATATGCATGGAAGTAAAGGCTATTCATGGTTTATGTCTGAGTTATATGCTAGCTCATTTCACTTGAAAGAAAAATGTAGGAAAGTAGGAAACATTTTTGTTCAGTAATGGATGTGCTTCTGTTCATGCATGTCCGCATACCTGTGTTCAGAGAGGACACTGGATCCCCTTGAGCTAGAGGTACAGGCAGTTGTGAGCTGCCTGGTACGGGAGCTGGGAACCGAACTCAGATCCTCTGTAGGAGCAGCAAGCACTCTTACCCACGGAACCGTTTCTCTAAACTATCAGCAGTTGAATTTTAAAAAGAAAATTAATATACTGCACTGGAGATCCATTAACAAGTCTTAAATTAAATTGAGTAAATTTCCACCACCGCCAGACTTTTGGAAACTATCTGTGATTCCTGTGAGCCCAACTTCCCCTTCCTTAAAGAAGAGGTTGGACAACAAAACTCTGTAGAGTTTAGAGCTGTAATCCCAGCACTTCAGATATAGAGGCTATCATATGTATTCACAGACAATCTTAAAAACTGGCTAATTAAGAATTCTTATTAATTACAAATGGTTTGGGGTCCTATAGACCAATAAACGCTTACATTCCAGTATTATTTTTTATAACTGAAAAAAATGTTGTTACATTTGAGTATAAAATGTACAAATTGATACATATGTAATATAGAGTATTTCCTTTCACAGTAAAAAAACAAACAAACAAACAAACAAACAAACAGAGCAAGGCCATTCTCCTAAGTGATAATCTTTGCATGGGTCTGAATTATACTTCATCAAACAGATATTACTTTTTAAATTACCTTTTGCCCTATATTCAAGGTATAGGTAAGCTTTATAAATATCCTTTTAGGCTAGGCACTAGCCTGTAATATCAATATTTAGAAGGTAGAAAAAGGAGGACCAGTAGTCCAATGTCGGCCTTACCTATATAGCAATATACCTATATACCTGATGCCAACTTAGGCTATATGATGCATTGTCTCAAAACAAACTGAACAGTACTCATTTCTTTAACCTATACTGGCAGAGGCAAGGTCTCTCTCCCTCAGAAGGATCATGTATGGAATGCAAGTTTACCAAACACTTGTTTCTGTATTATAAAACTGCTAATGTAATAAACATGCCTCTTTCTCAGTAAAGTACAGTGATCTATTAAATGCAGTGTATAATGAAACTTAATGAAGGATTAATTTTGTAGAATATCAGGTCTTAAATTTACTATATGTGTTTCTAATAATGTCATGCAAATGTTCCTAATTTAATATGCATAGTTCTAGAACTATTAATATACAGTACATCATGTTTCATGAGTTACTCTAGTAAGAAATTTTTATCATTCTTTCTCTTGGCTTTGTGTTTTGTTTAATTTTATTTAAAAGACTGTTAGACAGCATAAGTGTGGTTAAATTTAGAAGGCTAGCATTTTCCAAAGAACCTCTACTAGTCTAATGGGTTTATGACTGTTTAGATGCTGTTCTGGAACTGTCTCTGGATGTATAGACAGGTTACAGATGCAGTGCAGTTCCCAGCTCCCCCGGCTGTTCCCTCTCACCTTCCGTTACTGCGATGCATTTGTCAAAATGAAAAGCGTAACATTAATGAGCACAACTGTTAAGCAGATTCCATGCTATATTTGGGTTTCACTACTTTTTCTATTAATAATACCTTCTTTTTCCAGGATTTAGTTCAAGACATCTGAAATGTAGTTGTCTTGTTCCCAAGCCTCTTTTCTGTTGCTGTTTCCCATTCTTTGTTTTGCATGACCTGTAGGATGGAACCTAGTCTTAGTTCATCTGATGGTTTTCTCCATATTAGACCTGGATCATGGAGGTTTTTGGAAAGACTAGCACAGAGACAAAGTGCCTTTCACACTGCAACCTCTGAGGGAGTATCTGTCGTATCTTGAGCAGTTGGCTGCACTGTTAGATAAGTAGTGATGGTCAGAGCTCCTCAGGGAAAGTGTTCTGCCTTCTTTCTCGACTCACTTCTTTATAAGAGAATCCCTAACTCTGCCCTCACTTGGGTGAGAGCTTGGGGTGTAGGAAATGAAACTCTCCAGGCTCTCTGGACATCTGACAGAGGATTTGTTCATTTTTATTTAGCCTGTCATTTTAATCAGGGTGAACTCAGGTGTGTCTGTCCTATATCTTGAATTAATATTGTTTTATCCACTTAGTTTCTAAAATACTTTAGCTGTGGAAAACTTAGTACCCAGTGAGTCTTCTCTGCCTTTTATGTGTCTGCTATCCCATGAGTTCTTTCATACCCTAATACTATAGGATGTCTCATTTTTTTCCTTGTTTTTATGTTTGTTTTCCTCTTTCATTATTATCATCCCTCCCTTTGATAAATCTACACTGACACATAATCACCATCTGAAACCCATAGTTCACATGAGCGTTCATTCTTAGTGTTGTATGCTCTGTGCTTTTTGACATGTACCCACCATTACCAGATTCAGAATAGCTGCCCTGCTGTGGGAGTTCTGTCATTGACTGATGCTTTGTGTTTCTGTAGTTCCCCGTTTCTATATTGCTATGAACTTGGAATTCATTATGCAGCCTTTTCTGAGTGGCTTCTTTTCCTTAGTTGTATACATTGGAGGTTCCTCTGTATCTTTTCATTACTTGGTATCTCATGGGTTTATGGCTACTGAGATGCACAAATGTTTATTACTTCATAGACTCTATTAAGCAAGGCATGCATTAAATAAGGAGTTATAATTATGGTAGCCATTATTTAAAAGATTGTCCTATTCACAAGAGCAGATGTCAAGGGACTTTGACCTTGCCAGTGTTGAATGTAATTTAGAGGTAATTTTAATATTTACATGACAGTATATTTTAAAATGATATTCATATTTAATGGTTAAGACTTTTATACTTGATATGATACCTTGCTTTTGTATTCTTAAACCACAGAAGTCCAGTTCTCTCCCTGTTATTATAGAGCATCTGTGGTATATAATCTTGGGGTTTGCAGTACATGTTTTCTCTGTTTGTCTCTGGATTATCTTTTATCCTCATGCATGTATTATTGAGTGAATTATGTTTAGACAAATCATTAAAATCTAGAAAATTGCATAGCTTCTCTGTCTTATTCCATTATCAACTTCCAGGTTCTTAGGCTCTATTATTAAACTGCATATGAAAAAGTTACGACTTCATGCCCTATCTCTAGCAGGGTTAATGAAGGACACCATAAGCTAAAGAAGTAGTTGAAGATTCTGGATGTACTTATCATAGGAAAGACAGAGAGATGATTTTATAGGTGTTAAAATCAGCTTTATGTCTTTCTATAAGAACACTGTGTTCAGGCTGGAGAGATGGCTCAGCAGTTAAGAGCACTGACTGCTCTTCCAGAGGTCCTGAATTCAATTCCCAGCAACCACATGGTAGCTCACAACCATCTGTAATGGGATCTGATGCCCTCTTCTGGTGTGTCTGACGGCAGCTACAGTGTACTCATATATATATAAAATAAGTCTTAAAAATAAGAATACTGTATTCAGATGAGTAAGTTATATATTTTTAAGAACAACTTTATTTATATATCATAAGGTTCACCCCTTTAGGCTGAGGAAATGGTTCAGTCAGTAAAATATTTGCCATGCAAGTACAAAGACCCAAGTTCAATTCTCAGAACCCCTGTGTGTGTAAAGGCCAGGGATAGTAGTGCATGATTGTAATCCTAGCACTAGGCTATCAAAGACAAGTAGATCCTTGGGGAGTATTAGCTAGCTCTTTAGTGAGCTCTGGGCTAGGGAGAGATTGTCTTGAAAACAACAAAATGTTTTAAAACAAACCAACAAAAAACAAAAAACCAACCAACCAAACCAAAAAACCTAGTATGTTTGGCACCTAAGGAATGATGCCTGAGGTTGACTTCTGGCCTCTGGACATACACATACACAGATACACAGGTGTACACACACACACACACACACAGACACAGAGCCTCCAGTCTAGCCTTTGAAGGATGATAGACATGGAACTTACTGTTCATGAAATACAATGCCTGTTGGTGTCATACAGAAGCAGCTGCTGATTAGTTAACTAGGGAGACATTAAACTAATCGTTAGTAGTTAGGTCCATATGGACAATGATTATGTCTGTAAAAAGCAAAGCAAATATTGTTGCTTCTTTCAATTACTGTTCAAATTGCTCAGGTAGTTTTAATTACCTTTTTAGGAGAAAAAAAATCTGTGTATGCTTTGTGCTTGAGGAATTTTAGTTAGATCAAGCACAGTTTTTGTCATTTTGGGGTTTTTTTCCCTCACTAGTTTTCCTTAAAAAAATCTGTGGTTATTCATCTACTCAACAGTAGCTTTAATATTCACCTAAGTGGTATGTCTGTTGGACATCTAAAAGGATATTGAGCATGGAGACCATTACTAAGATGCTAGGATAACCATGTCAAAAAGCATTGGCCTTGTCACCCAAATGAATGGTCCTGTTAGCTGAAGTAAATGCAGTCAGAAAG